GCGATGGAGATTGCTGAGGTAGATTTTTGAGGAGGAAGATGGGGAAATCTGAAATAATTAACAGATTGGTGGCATGAACACACTCAAAGAAAATGTTTTCTCTTTCTGAGTCCAGTATGTTGCTATAGAGAAAAGAAACCATCCTCCCATGCTAGAGAACAATAGCTTGGAAAGCCACGGTATTTTCTATGGAATAGCCTCTTACTGGAGCAGTAGTGCAGTGAGCGCTCGTGTTTGCTGCGCTGGTGACGTGCTTGGGGCCGTGGGGAGAGTGAGGGTCCCCATCTTAGAGAGAGAGGGGAGCTCACCAAGAGCCAACATGCTGCTAACATCTAGTTTTGCCTATTTGCCTTATTCTACTTAGTGAACTGCTCTCTGTTGCACCTGGCAGGAACTTTTGAAGGGTTTGTGATACAACACTATGAGCAGAAGCACTAAGTCCCTTCCTGCCCCCATTCTGTACCTATGAGCAGTCATTCTCAAGAACTCAAACTACTTTGCGTAGTAGCTTGGAGTATTTAACCACTGTCACTCTGGAAAGATGGATCAAGTGGAATTTTCCACTTCTGTTGTTATGCAAGATTTTCATGAATGACGTGAATGCATGCCCTTACATCTGAAGGTGATCCTATATCCATATGCTATAGGGAACAAGATGAAAATGTGAAATGATCCTAACAAATTGAAAAGCTTGGAATGAGCATAGGGCAGTGGAGCAAGTGCCAGAGCTCCTCTGAAGTGGYAGTAGTCAAGAGCAAGAGGCAGAATAACTGGCTAAATGGCAGTTCCTCTGGAAGAGAGAGGKTTTTTAGAGGACCACAAAGGCCCTTGTGCTAGGAGAAAAATGCAGGGACGCTGTCAAGAGAGAAGTTGAGGTCTMACCTCGAGCATTGGCTGATTTGGGGCACGCTGATAGTAAATGTGAGCCAAGAGGAGGGCCACCAAACAGGGTGGCCGTGGGGAAGGCACCTGGGTGTAAGAAAGTTAGATTTATCTAGGACACTAGGTTGAGTGCAGCGTGAGAAGATCAGCTGAAYTTCACTGTGAATTAGCCTGATGATTTTATAAAGTAATCAAATCAGTAGCTTTAATGAGAAAGGTGCAAATTCAAAGGAGGGGGAAACAAAAGGGCAAAGAGTTTTAATCCAGTCAGGAAGATTGACTTTAATACAGATTAATTAAAAGGCTGGACCTTTTATAAACAGGGTAAGTTTAGATGAGCAAGTAGGAAGGAGAAGAGTTGCCACCAGGTTTGGTTAAAATGGCCGAGAAGCTCGTGGTTCCCCAAGAAGAGCCTCACCTAGAGGGAGGATACTCCCACGTGTGGGAGCGCAGGAGGGGAGCTCCATGGCACGGGCTCTCGTGCTTACCTTGGATGTCAGGCCTGAGAGTTGGTCTTGTCTTGGTCCTGGGTCTAAAAAATGCAAACCCTGCTGTGCACAGGTGTGTCAAACATGGTGATTCTTAACTGCTATGGCTGGGGACATAGCTCCTGGTAGCTAAAAAGCCAAATGAGCCACCCAAAGCCCAATTTCCCTGTGCTTGCAGATGTTTTATGCAGCAAAAAGTTTACTGAGTAACCTATTCCTGCCTGTCAGTGGGTATTCTCCTCTGCTTTGGGTAGCATGAGGAGTATATAGTCTCTGTCTTCGTTTAGGGGCCTGTTCTACCAGATAATTCATTGTTTTATTTCTTTTTTTTTTAATTTATTTTGGGATGGTTTTCTGTAAAGTTACAATGTATTTGGCCAACAATATCTTAAGACTGAACCGTTGCAAGTGATTGTCCTGTAGAAAGCCCCACAGCTTCCCAGGATGTGCAAATTGCTCCTGGTTTCTGCTCTGTTGGAAAAGGCCTTTCATTCCTTTCATGTGCTTGCCTAAAACAAGGCCTAAGGATCTTGCCTCTTGGGCAGTTAGAGTTACAGTTTTGCACCTTGACCCTTACTTGTCTCTGGCCTTGTAAGCTTAGTTGTTGATGTCTTGGCTGTCTGTCTTTTTAAAACTGACTGGAATAAACTGAGGCACCCACRGAAAACTTGGAGCTGCGTGGAAGGGAACGCCCGCCAAGTGGACYAAGGGTTCACAAGCCAGATGGAAAAGTGCCTCTAAAATTATTATTGGAGGTTTCCAGGTTACCTGGGTTAGCAGAACACATGCAGAGAGTGCAAAAAGATAKCAGTAAAAATGATCAGGAGTTACATCCAAACCAAACCTTTATTTCTCCACTGGCCTGAAGCTTCTCTGGCTTGGCAGTCTTGGACTGTGCATTTTTCAGCTCCATACATTTGATATGCTTATGTTTCCTCATTCAGCTTTTCAGGTTGGCAATGCATTCTCTTAGTTACAGAGTGAACTGAATTTGGTCAAAATAGAGATTCTTTCAATGGAAAGATCGGAAGAAAGCCTAAGTTTCAGACCAGGTGAACACTACTGTAAAGCAGGGGTCCAACACTGGAGAGCAATCTCTTAACCAGGATATACTGCTCTTTCACCCCATACTACAGGGTACAGGCAGGGTGCAAAAACTTGTGGAGAAATTCTGGGGATTTTGGCAAGAGTCAAATGGGAAACATGGTCTTGTTAAGCTTTGTTCATTGACCAAAGTCTTCTTTTTTAAAATTACTTTGTATATTAGCATACATTTGTCCTCATTTAATTATAAATTAAATATAATAGCAGTATTTAATAAATGACTMTTTCCAGGTTGATATTACATTTCAGCTGTTTAGAATGATTTAAAATTTGTGCTCCTTTGGGACAAAGTTGCCAGAGAGGACAGTTATGCAGAAATGAAGTGCACGTGCCCTGACATCTATTCATTAGGGGAATCCACATCCCTTCCTTACCAGGGGCAATTTGGGCATTTTCAGCAGAGAGGTTACTGAAACGTCTTGCAGGGGTGGCCTTGGATTAACCGAGCACCTGAGGCTTGCAGGGCACGTATAATTGTGGGTGTTCTCTAGAGATGGGGAGCCTTGTGGTGACCTGGCCGAGCAGAAGGCAGTGGCTGCCCTCGCGCAGCCCCTGCGGCAGCGCCTGCAGGGCGGTTTCACACTGCCCCTTTCCGGGGCTCCCTCGCAGTGCAGGAACACAAGGAGCTCCGGGTGCTCCAAGCTCGGTGTTCTGTTTCACTCTTCTATTTGTTTTGAGTTTATTTGTTCGTTTTTGCCTTCCCAAGCCATAAGTTTAATAAAATGCAGCCCTCTTCTGCGTGTCAAAATGCATGGTTTTATAAAGAAAGTCGAGTGATGGTTAATTTTTAGTATTGCTCTTCAGATGTGTTTCACAAAACCTTTAGGTTTGCCTGCAGTCTCTTGATGCTAATGGCCTTTGCAGATCCAGCCTGGTGGAACCCATGAGAGTTGAATGAATCTTGTCTTTTATTTTTAAGCTCGTAGTCAGAAAGCTTGACTGAATTGGTACTGCATTGCCATTCATGCCACAGATGAAAAAGTCTGAAAGATTGAAGAATTAGAAGCAGAGAGAATTCTGCTGGGAATTGGGATAGAGCTGGATTTGCTAGATAAACTGCAACCAGCCTCCTGGTTCAGCTTTGTTCCCTAAGAATAGAAATCTCTCTAGAATTGAGAACATTYTGCTTAGCTAAATGGGTTACAAGGTTAAAGTGATAAGCTGTGGAAAATGGGGGGGAGAGGAAGTTAAAACAATGTAGTGAATTTTTCAGTTTGAATCGAAAGGTAGCTAAAAGAGACTAGTTAGTTCTGTTCCCATGATCTGGGGCCCACGAAGGGATTTCATTCAGAACCTCCCTTGGGCTCTTACAGCGCTAAGATGGAGTTCAGACAGGGGAGATGGGGCATGTAATGGAAGGCTCCTAGTTTTCCATAGCTCCTAATGAATTTGCATTTTCCTGCGGAGGAGCAATCTTTGAAGTGCTCTTAACTGATTAATGCAAGTGATTGCATTATCAAAATTGAGCTGGAAAGGATAAATGGAGCTTATTTTGCATGGCATCCCTCATCTGTTTACATCTGTGTGCCTTTCTGCCGAGGTGCTTAGGGGAGGGATTTGCAGGGATATCCGGAGTTCAGTAGGTATCTTGTGGGTATCCCAAGGGAAGAGTGACCTTTCAGGCTTCCCAGCTGCCCTTGTGATGCACCCCGCTCCAGGAACTGCTGCCTCACTTAGGTGAATGGAGCTGTGAAAGGGCCTAGATACTCCTGGACAGGGTGGCTGTACAGCCGTTCTGCACAGCTTTTTGAAAGCAGTGATCTTTGCTGGTCTTAACTCATTTGAARATACAGTCCAATTTGTTTGTACAGACCGGCTTTGAGTCACTGTGGCCTCAAGTATTTGTGAGTTTGTGTGTAATTAGTGCTGTGATTCCCACAGAAGTCCCGTGTAAGAATTCCCATAATCTGAAGATGATAGTCAAAAGAATCAGTCTTTTCCCAAACACCCGCATTTGGACTTTTCCAGCTAAGTTTAGAGATAAGGATAAGCAGAATGGTTAACTGCCTAAAATTAAATGGGCACGTTTTCCAAAAGCATCATTGGTGCTTTCAACTTGTGAGAACTCCAGCACTAAATGGGGGTATTGGAAGTTCTCCAATCCAAGGTGATCTTCTCTCTTCTCTCTGTGACCCTATGAAGCCTCGTGGGTCTACCCAACAGCTTAACGTGGTTGAGTCCTCATGTTATAAATGTGCATCTGCGCGTGCTCTGGAAGGCAGCAGTTGGAATGCCAGAATCCGGTGTGAGGTAGTGATGTTTATCAAATAAACCGTGCTCAGCGACTGTGTCTAAGAAACTCTGACTTCAAAAACCAARACCACCAAACCTATGAAGTCAGGGAGAGGTTAGCTAGCCCTTGTTAGTTTATTAATCTGTTCATCTGTACCCTTTTATCTTGCCTAATGAGGGGAAGCAACATCGTAAAGCTAATCTGCTGGCTGAAACTGTCAGTACTTCTTAAAAAAAACCTGAATGAAACATGAAAAATAAATTAATGATAACCTGGTTTTGTGTCCCATGCAGGTTTTCTCAGGTTCTGGATGCAGTAGGACACTTAATTGCTAACTGACCTGGAACTCGTGTTCAGCCTTAGAAAGATCTTCAGTGGGAGACTTTCACCTTCACATATCTGACAGTTTTCCATCCCAGACAAAAGGAACTTCATGTATGAGAGCTGCCTGAGATGATGATGTAACTCAGATAACACTCAAGATCTTTGGAGAATAACTAACTTAAGAGGCTTTTCCTGTTTTTTTTTTTTTTTGTTTGTTTGTTTGTTTGATAAATCACCCTCAGATTCTACAAACAAGATGCCAGCCAAGACACCCATCTACTTGAAAGCTGCCAACAATAAAAAAGGGAAGAAATTCAAACTAAGGGATATCCTGTCTCCTGATATGATCAGCCCACCTCTCGGAGATTTCCGGCACACCATACACATTGGAAAAGAAGGGCAGCATGATGTTTTTGGGGACATCTCCTTTCTGCAGGGAAACTACGAGCTCTTGCCTGGAAATGAAGGAGAAACCAGAATAAGCCAATCTGATGGCCACAGCGAATTCCTAAGGGCAAACAGCACTTCTGAATCCATGTTTACAGAAACTCCATCACCAGTGCTCAAAAATGCCATTTCCCTTCCGGCCATTGGGGGTTCTCAAGCCCTTATGTTGCCCTTATTGTCACCAGTGACATTCAATTCAAAGCAAGAATCCATCAGGCCATGTAGAAATCCTAGGCTTAGCTGTGAGCCAGTAATGGAAGAAAAATTGCCRGAGAAAAGTAAACAGTTGGAGGATGGAGAAATATACAGAGCTGACATATGGGAGCAAAATGGTTCTTCATCACACTTAACCAATGGTAGAGACAGTCACTCCTCCAGCCTTTCYGAACGCTGCACTGATTGGCAAACAGTTGATTTATTTGATGACAGTCGACTTTCATGTGAACTAACCAAGACAGAGACTAAGTCGGAAGAATCCCTTTCAGATCTTACGGGCTCTCTTCTCTCCTTACAGCTTGACTTGGGACCTTCACTTTTGGATGAGGTCCTTAATGTAATGGACAAAAATAAATCTTAGAACTGGTACCTCTTGCTTCTTTATAAGTCATTCATTAAAACAAACACAAAAACACAACTCACAAGTAAAGACACTTAAAAATCAGCTGTATTTGCAGTTGTTCAACGGGTTTTCTAAAAATGTTCCTAAAAATATTTTTTTATCTATTGTTTTTTCATGATTTTTATTACAGTAAATTCTCATAGTAGGAAGGTAAATTTTAATAACAGTTTTCAGCAAATACAAAATGTTTTAAGTACCAGTATTAACAATCAGAAACATGAGAAATACAGTTTGAAGATGATACTGATAATGTCTTTTGGTTAATTCACCTGTACGGGCTTCTGAATATTTGAGAATCTGTGTCAGTAAGGAGACTGGTGTTAATTCTTCACCTTTATAAATTATTGCAACATCACTTTACATGTAGGCTTCTTTCTAGAACCTTACGTGTGGGAGTTTGATTGTGGTTTTCCTCATTTTTCATAGTACAGCCTCTGTTACAACTTCTCTGTAACTATTTCCCCTGTTTTCTACTGCTCTGTGTTCAGATGTGAACAATTTGAAGACTCTTTCAGCTTGAACATGTGGTCCAGGGTCTCAGCTGCTTTAAACGAGCATGCACAAATTTAAACAAACTGAGGCTTTGGGCTTGATATTGTATATGAAATCATATGTTGTAAACAGCTAACACATGCAAGATATTATGGTTAAATTATTTTAAAAGTTGAAATATATATTTTTCTGTGTGCATCTTGGCTTTTTACTGCAGAGCCTACACGTACAATATCTCATCAAAATAGTTGCTTGACTATATTGGTGCTCTTCTGAAAGTTGTATAATTGTGTGTTTGAAAAGAAATATGTATTGATACTCCTAGCTTTGTTCTTCATTTATTGCCACACATGCTTAAACTTGCAACTGATTATTTCAATTTTTGAAGAAGGCACTGGTTATTCACAATGCTTGATGCGTGCTGCAACAGCCAATGTTTTGGGAAACGTGGATCATTTAATACAGTACCTACATGGATTGCATAGATACTTTGTGCAATACAATAAAAAGTATTTAAATTGCTATGTCTTTGTGATTCAGTACATTGCTTCGTCAATATCCTGAATCTTCTTTGCTGCTGTAATGAGATGGATTGCAGTACAGCTGCGGAAATGAGAGATGGAGGGGGCAGATCAATCCCACTATCTTAATCCGGTTAATGTTACTTTTCCTATGCAGTTTTCTTCTAATGAGGACAAGCTCCAAGAAGATAGGATCCTCTGGGATGGGTGCTAATTTTGTTATGTAATAGGAGACAAAATGATGATATTTTGGTCCTGATAAAGTTGATAAAATTACTGCTTTTTTGGTAGAGACTTTTGTTGGAAGTCTTCAGATAAATCCTCCCATCAGTTCTTCATTAGGTAACCACATTACATTTGTATCTTCTTATCAGAACGTGCAAGTCATGGATGATAGAAAATGTTATCTCTATCCTCAAAAATTTCTGTGGAATCAATGCCAACTAAATTCATTTCTGCRCCCTGTTTTGGAAGCAATTCTGCCCATTGCAATTGCTACCCCTTATTGTCAATTAATGAGACATGGATGTCTCATTACATGGGACTGTCTCCCATATTATTCTTGTAAGTGAGTAACTAAGATGTAGGTGGCCAAGAGCTGTGTTTATTTTAAAGATAATGCTTAATTGACTTTAGTTTCATATTTTCTGTGTATAAGCTTAGATCAAATTTCCAGTGAATTCATGCTACAAGAATGTGGCTCTGTGACAATAGTACTTAATAGTATTTTAGAAAGCAGCCTGAAGGCTCTCCCTGGACAAATATTTCATGCAGGATCTGGGGATTTAAAACCCAGTGAGAATTTTGGTGCCAAAATATTCAGGGGAAAATCTGTCAGTCTGGCATAGGGGAAATAGGGATGAAATAGGAAATTACACATCTTCTGTGCAGACCAGCCTGAAGCATCATAATGATTAGAAGACAAGAAGTATTCGCTAAATGAAAATCACTGTCTTTCAGAACAGCAAGTGTTTTCTAAAAGGCCTTGCCTTTATTTCCCCTCTTCCTGGATTATCCACAGCAGGACTAAGTGGATACAGGACAGCATTTGGATATGCTAACAAATGGGTATGAAGAGCTCTATAATATGTGGACATAGGAGAAGTGGGCCTTCAGTCCAATATAAATATCTCAAGACACTGCTAAACAATACCTTGTTTGAGGATAAGTTTATTTCACAGTCCTTTTCCCTTCTTGCATTGTTAGCGTTAATAGGGAAGCTTGTTGTCAGGATTAGAGCTGGAAGGATAGTCTCTAATTTGTGCAGGAAATTCTTAGCAAGTGACCAGGATAGGCTAAAGCCAGCTTTCAGGGAAAAAAAAAGCACGGGAGGACTTGACTTCTTAATGCATATCAGCTCAAAAATTTTTCATTCCTGCTAGAATCACAGAGAGCAGAGACGCTTGGGATGGCTGCCTTTCTGAGAAGGTCACTCATGACCAGAATCAGCAGCAGCAGTTGTTTGATGTGGCAAATATAAATAGAGAGGCAAATCCAGCAAGGAAACTATTGGACCTTGTGTAATGAGGCCAACTGAAGGCAGCATTGCACAAGGGGAAGCTAAGACAGATATGCCCTAGACTTGATTCCAAGGAAAGCAATTAAGAGTTGCTGTAATCAAATTAATTAAATTAGCAGTGACCTAGCTCTGCTCTGCCCGCGTCCATTTACTTTTCATATGAACATGAAGTATTTTAGTACATCTGTTTCCTATAAATGCTTTCATTTTATGTGTTTTTAGGGGTTTCCTGATTCCAAAGGTAAGGCTGGATCTATCACTCACTGCTTCTCTCTAGTTACATTTTTACAAGTGCTAGAAAATCAAGGAAGTACTTAATACCTTCTGTTTATATTTTTAATATTGTAAGCTTATTTTTCCCTCAGCAATTATAAAAGCACTGATTTTCTGCTAGAGTAAGTTAGCTTCACTCCAAAATAAAACCATGAACTCTGACTTCACCAGGGACAAACTTCCCCTTTTTTTCGTAGGTGCCTTATTAAGGTGGCCCTTAACATTCAGGCCCTTGCTGAGTCTATAGGGCAATTCTCTCTTACCCTGTGCTCACGGAAACAAGAACTTCAGTTTTGTGGGTGGATGATTCTTAACCTGCACTGTGTTTTCCTTCTTTCTTAAGGATTTCCCTTGGGAACCTCTCTTCCATTAGAACCTCTTGTCAGGGACCTCCCTGGTGGCTCCCCAGTGTCAAGGGGTTCCTGGTGGCGGCAGAGCCAGGCCTATCCCCCAGACCACGTCCTACCACCACGGGAGCAGGGCAGCCAGGGGTGGCTGGGGCTCTGCTGCAGGGACAGGGATGGGCAGTTGATTATGGGCTGGGCTTGGGTTTGGYGGAGCCCAGGGCCATGGAGGGGCTGGACACCAGCAGTGCTGCAGTGTCATGGGGCCTACAGGCACCAACAAGCACCCCCCACAATGGGGGYCTAGGCCTGGAAACATCAAGGAAGGTCCTGGGCAAAGCCTATCAGTGCACTCATGGCCTTAACAGATTTTTGTGAGCAATAGTTTTGATCTGAAAGAGTGATGGACCCTGGTTTTGCCTTCAGTAACTCAGGAAGTGCTGAAGCCACCTGACATGCTTGTTCTGGATTTTGGTTTGATACAAAGGAAGAAGGGCTGGCTCTTTCCCTATTTCCTACATAGTGTGGAGCAAGGATGCAAAGAAAAGCCCCAAAGTTTCTTTTTCTCTGTTTTTTTCTCCCTCTGGGCATGCTTCCAGCTCCTACACGCTTTGCCCAAAGGAAGTCTGTCTGTCTGTCTCTGTGGGCTGTGCCTTTGGCCATATATCAACTAGTTTTGTTTATGACAGTCTGACTATATACCTCCCCCAGTCATCATGGCCTTTCAAGGGTTATCAAGAATGACCTTGCAAGGACATTGGCTAACTCCCTCAATATGGTTGGGTACGTACTATCGGTTCCTGTGGTCTTGTGAATGCCGAGTTTGTTTAAATACTCCCTAACATCATCCTCCTTTAGTCTGGCAAAGCTTATTTCTTTTCCCACTGGCAAGCACCTAGGATTCCTAAAGACAAGCTTTACCAGTAAAGATCATGGTGAAGAAGACACTGAGTACCTCAGCCTTTTCCACATCCATTGTAACCCTGTCCCTTGTCCCATTCAGCAGAGGGCCCRTGTTTTCCTCAGTTTGTCTGTTGCTGCTAATGTACTGGCGGAAGCCCTTCCTGTTACTCTTCATGTCCTTTGCTAGATTCAACTCCAGATGGAATTTGGTTTCCTAACTCCATCCCAGCATGCTCAGGTGGTGTCTCCTGGACCACCTGGTCTTGCTTCTACCTCTTGTACCCTTCCATTCTCTATTTGTGTTTTGTCAGGAGCTCCCCTTTCTCTACGCAGGTCTCCTGTTACCTTTGTTTGATGTCCTGCTCATTAGGATGGACCTTTCTTGAGCTCAAAGGAGGTAATCCTTGAAAATCAATGACCTCTCCTGGACCCTTCTTCTCCCAAGACCATATCCCGTGAGATTCTTCCAAGCACACTTCCCTGAGCAGGCCAGAGTTTGCTTTCCTAAAGTGTAGGGTTGTGCTCTTGCTATTTACCTTGTTCTCTCTCTCAGAGTCCCAAACTCCACCATCTCATGGTCACTGCAGCCGAGGCTGCCCCGACCATCACATCCCTGACCAATTGTGATCCACGCAGATTTGAAATTTGTTATGTCTTAAATCAAAGGGTGAGCCCTAACTTCATTAGCAGGCTACAGATATAGCACAGACTTACMAAGAGAAAACCTCAGCAAGAATCATACTTGAGAAGTACATCCTGACTGCCTTTTGTTTAGGCAACAGGAAGAAAAAATACCTTAAGATAAACATTTGCTGCAGGCTCCTTAGACATGTGTCTAATGGGAGTACCAAGTTTAGGAGAGAAGATCTAAAACACTGAGTCCCAAGCAACTATATTTGCCATCTATTTTTAGATCACAAGTTAACATATGATAAATTGATGGTTTCTTTGTTTTCTAATATTTATTCTCTTCATAGGAAACAGAATTCCAGCCATTACTTTTTGTTTCTCACTGATACTGTGGCACATTCACCCTGTCTCTCAGAGCTTCTACCTACTCCTTGACAAGGCAGTCTGCTTCACCAAAAACAGGCTGGAAAGTTTTTTGAGGACAGATTCTCTTTTTTTGCACCTTACTTTTCAGTATATGATGTTATCTGGTGAGATGGAAAAATTGTGAGAATAGCCTTACTCATGATATTTCTATTTCCTCTCCTGGCAGATACTTACACATATCTGCACTTCATGTTTTATATATTTATGTTTAATCATCAAGCATTTTCTAAATGTGGAAAAGCTTCACATCACTTCTTATTATTTTATCTGAATTGCTCTCACTAGAAAAATGCAGATGGCAACAGCAAGCTAACAAACTGAATGTAAATGCTGACCTTCRGTATCCACAAGGCTTAAAGAGTATTCTCTGTATTCCGTATATAAAATTAGTTTTGAATTTAGACTACAAATAAACCGTATATTCTATAGTAAGCCCTGTATCCTGTGACAGTGTTGGGGAAATTCTAATTGTGCCAAGGATGTGGATATTGAGGAATGCCATTTCTCTTTCTAGAAGTGACATGTTTTCCAAGATGGGTATCTGTGCTTGCATTGGGTAGTTCAGCAAATCTTGCCTGCCATTGCCAGTGTAGAAAACCAAGCTAATAAGAAAAACAAAAGGAAAGGGGAATATTGCTCTGTAGCTGCAGTATTACCCTGGAGTTTTGGGTGGTCTGGGCTCTGGCACGAACTTTCTGCATGAACTTTGACAAATCACTTACACCTCTCCACAGCTGAGACAGTCATCTCTAGTGTAAGAAAAATGGCTTTACACTTCTCTCAACTTCAGTCCATTCTGTCAAATCAGATAAAAGAATTGCAGGTAATTTGTGCTCAAGAGAGCATTTAGTTGAAGCAGGATAAGC